TTAAAGCTAATGTTGGTTCATCTTACTATCAAGATGTAATACAACTAATTAAGTACAAAGCTTTCAATAGAAAGACAAATATATTTTTACAATAAGTGTTCTTTCTTTTTGTAAGTGTATCTCTTTTCTTTTTGAGTCTTCAAGATTCTTTGTATAGGTGCTTTATAAAAATGATCATTGCAAATCCTTAAGCGTCTCTCATAGGCCTGCCTTGTTTGGCATCTTTGCTCCTTGTGGAGAGAATTTTCCTGTGGTGCATCAAATGCAGACATTAAATGTGTTTCACCAAATTTTTACTTCTTCTCTGACCAAGGAAGCTACTTATCACTTTTTTAGGTACCAAAAGAAAGGAATTATGTGTGTGTGTCAAAAACAACTTTCTTTGACATTTAATGTGATTTAAGGGATATGTTAGTCTTTTTCTGGCGTAAAGCATGTTTGTGTTCCTTTGTGAAGTCTGAGTATTGATAAGAACTACTGAGATTCTATCAAAATTAAACTAGTTTCCCCTTTTAATTTTGCAACATAAGGAAACTTAGGTCAAAATCTAGAGACACAAATCATTCAACACAAACTTTATAATGTGAATTAGCAAGGGGATTTTTAACAAACTGTTTGTAATGCAAGAATGTATGAAAATTTTAGAATAAAATTAAATTCCAATCAGAGAAATACCAATTCAAGAAGACAATTGTTGCAGTTTCAAAGAATTATTCAAATTCAATAGTTTAAAAATTAATTTGAACAAAGAAATGAAGAATGCAATCACATTTTATGATATTTCATTAAAAACATAAATGCAATCACATTTTACAATTCTCTGTGGAATTCAATCCGAATTAAATCTAATTTCGTGTTCTAAGATGTTCACATTCAAAAAGAGAAAACAAAATTGAAATTTAGATAGAAGAAAATTTACCAAAACTATTGAACTCTTGAATCGGTAAAACAAATTTAGAAAAACATCTTCATTGAGATGCTACCAAAATTTGTGTAAAGATGAACACACAATAAAATTCAGACAAAGAAAGAGAAATGAGAGAGAGAGAGAGTTTTGAAAGACTTCTAAGAGAAGAAACTCAATTTTTGAAAAATGAGGTATATGATAGCAAGTGTATATGTGTTACACTTATTTATAAACTACACTAATGGGCCTAATAAGAGTAACTAAAGGCTCAACCCACTAAATTAATTAATTATATCACTAAACAAATCTTCACATTACATCTAAAAATAAAAAGAAAATATTGTGTTGGGCTGCAACTTTAAAATGAATTTTTGGGTCATATAAAGCCCAAATTGGCATTTTCTTCCAACAGAGAAGTTGTAGAACTCTCTCTTATATTTTCAGGGATATCAAGAATGTCCAAATCTGATGTTGGTAGCTCTAGATATGATATACACAAGAACAGAGTGTAAAAGTGGGCCAAATTGTGAAAATTAATAATTTATAATCATCACTAACTAAACTCACCAATACAAATCACATCTAATATATCAATTATTCATACTATTAAATGCCAAATCATCTCAAATTAATGCATTGAAATATGCATCCCAAATGCATTGTCAAATACTTTCACACTAATCTTTGCACTCTTGGGCAAAACTCAAATTTTGAATTTAGAACTAACAATGAATCTATGAACAAAAAAAAATTCTATAGTTTTCAATGAATCACAAATGTATAGAAAAAGGGAAAGAATACAAACATTTAAAGCATCAAGGTTTAACAACAATCTATAAACATATTTTTCACATTTAAAGCAAGCAAGAGGACAAGTTAAAATTAAAGAATGGTCCAAAAATGATAAAACCCACTCAAGGTAGTGTTTACTCTCAACTCTATAGTGTTTAGGTTTGTGTTTACTCTCAAGTACATCATGCAATACTAGCACTGCCAAACTTTGATAAGCCTTTAACTTCAATAACTTTAAACACATGCAATTAAAGATCAAAAAGACTTTTAATAAGCTTGTAATGTGGCCAAGGTAAAGGTGGGATAAGAGAAGGATGTTTAATCTATAAACCAAAGAGAAAATAGAAGTAATGGAGAATAAATTCAATAAGCATGAAAGCTACCCCAAATAGGATCCTTTTGGTTTTTTTGGCTTCCCACTTATTTGGAAAGAAAATGCCTATGAAGTTTTAAACCAAATGAAGGGTTCAAGTGTGTAGGAGTGTGACACATTTGCATAGGAAGTGAGAAGTAGTGAGAGCTAACTCGTTCTTGCCACTCTCACTCCTTGCCTTACAAACAATGTCACTCCCTTCTACAAATGACATTGCACTCCTTGACCTTCAAAGCTTTGCTCTTATCTTTCTTCTTGTTGGTTTCACTAGTCTTTAGAGCAATAGAATCATTTGCTTTAAGATGATCTTTGTTGTTTAGATGGACTTCATGAACTCTTACTCCTCCTAAAAGTTAATCCCATGTAAGAGTTTTGAGATCTCAAACTTACGATATGGTAGTGGCCTTAGATTCCTAGATCTTTGGAAGACTATCCAAGATCTTGAGATTGTTCTGAGCTTTAGAGAACTCAATTCATAGGATTTTTAGCTCATTGAGAATAGTTTGAAATCTTTCAAACATCTTATCAATGGTTTTGTTTTCCTTCATAGAGAACAACTCATAGTGTCTCTAAAGAGTAGCAGCTTGTCTAAGCCTAACATCTTCAATGCCCTCATGAGTTACTATGATGGCTTCCAACATTTCTTTGGCAATTTTGTAGCTACAGAAATTATTATACTCTATTCTTGACAAAGAGCAAGCCAATATGTATCTTGCTTTGGTGTCGAGTTGTAGGGTGTTGTAATCATCTTGCGCACTCACTCTCTGCCTTATTAACTACAATATCATTTCTTGTGATGATCTTCCAAAGATGATATTAGATAGACTTGATGAACATTTCCATCATGTCCTTCTAATATAGGTAGTTTTCTCCATTAAAGGTAGGTGATCTTATAAGAAAAGCTCTTTTAAGCAGACACTAACCTTCACTACTTCTCATCTTATGAGCTTTTTTTATCACGATTAGATGTTTAACCCCGTCAAAGATTGAGTTTTGATACCAAATTATGGAGTAAAGAAAGACACTAGAAGGGGGTCGGATAGTATCAATAAAAAATTCAACATTTTTTGAAATAGTGAAGTAATATCAAGACCTTACGAGTGCAAACAGAGTTAAGTAAGAAGAACACATGATATTTTTATACTAGTTTGTCTCAATCACTGAGACTACGTCTAATTCTTTATCTATCCGATCAAGTTCTACTATCTTTTGCAAAGATACAAGTATTCTTTCACAAGCCACTTATGGCTCAACTTAAGTGTTCTTTGACTTACCTCTTCAAGAAACTATCCAAGTATTCTTTAAACAAAAATCCTCTCTAGGCTTCAACAACCAAGTATTCTTTTGCAAGCGAGCATCTTCAAGCTCAAAGAAATAACACAAAGTTAAAGCTAGAAAACCATTATGTTTTTTCGTATTACTATCAAAACGTGATAATTAATTAAATATAAATTTTTTACAGGAAAAAAAATATATATATACAATGACTACCAAAAAAGATTTTTATACCTTTCAATATGCAAAGGAAAAACATAGACAAAGATGATTTAGTTATTAAATACTATAAATAATATAAATGAAAATCTTTTATCTTATAAACAAAGTGATTCGTTTGAAAGACTCAATGTCATAATAATTAATCATCTTATAGTGTGATCTAAAAATATTTTCTCTTGAAAAATATCTAAGTTTGTTATCATTAAAAATTATAGCTTAAGAGATTTAAGATTGTCTTTTAACCTAACAGTGATTTTCTTTAAGGAATCAGGTATATTTCTTGATTTTAGGATCTTGAGTTTCATGTAAGGATAATGTATCTCAAGATAGGGATTCTTGTGTTTACAAGTTAGGGAAGAGTTCCCTAATTAGAGTTTAAAGCAAAGGTTTCTATTAGGATTATAGAAATGCCTATAATCTAGGTGTGATCGACTTGGACTATAATTACATTATAAGAAATACTAGCAATGCACTCTTTAGCACTCCTATTATATTATTGATTATAATTGATATCTTGTATTATAGGTTGATTATAGGAGATTAAATAATGTAACTTTCTTATGAAAGTGAACCATTATAGATTTTTGTGTAAATTTCTCTATCTTTTCTCTACATTATTTTGCTATATCTTGTCTATTACTTTAAATTTCTAGAAATCTTGTTTGTATGATTCTTGTGGTCTAAAACTGGATAGTTTGATCTTTCTTAGTTGAGTTAATCATAATCATTTTAAAAGATCATGATAATCTTTTCAAAAATCAGATTTCAGGTGATACTTTCGGGAAAAATCCATTATGCATTTATGATTGTTAAAATTCCCCGGTTCAAAAGAGTTTAGGATTGGTGGAGTTAGATC